AGGGTTCCTTGAAATATCAAGAAAACAAAGGCATCAATGTAAGCAATCTGACAATAATTTTAAATGCCTTTCCGTTAACATAGTTTATGGCAATTAGGCTGTGACCCTCACAAAGAGCACTTGAAGGACTTTTAATTGCTTCCTTATTGTTTTTTAAACTGGGGCCCTAGGGAGAATATGATCTTCCATTAACACTTAGAATTTCCAAGAAAAAAATAGAGAAAGTTTAAAGAAACAGAGGAAGACTATAGAAACAAAGGAAGGTAGATAGTAATACCTGTTCCCATAATGGATCTATAGATATGAACAGCTAGTGATACTAATTATCATAGAAAACGGTGGTAAGGGAGGGGAGACACATTTGGGGCAAGAAATAATTCCACTCAGGAAAAAGAAGGAAAGTCAAGGAACAGAAGGAATGACCTGCCCTCTGGACTTGTTCCACTGTGGAATCATTCGTCTAAAAGCAAACAATTAAGAAATCCCAGACACTCAGATTTATCCTTTGGGAGATACTGGATTTCCTCTAAGGAAAAGACTCCAATGGTGCTCAGCTGCCAGCAGGAGCATGGGTGGGATGACCTCACAGGCCTTTCCGTCATTAGTTTCTATCGTTGTCTTCATAAATTTTCCTGGGTTTTGGTTCTTGGAGTTTTCAAAGAAGACAAGAAAACTGGAAATAGCTTAATCATTTGTACTGGAGAAAACATGACTTTTTAAACCTATTTAGTAGAAACAGTAACTAGCCATTCAAGTCTTCACTCAGCAAACAGTCCATCACTGTGTGCTATCTACCAGGAGTGTGCCTCTGAGTAAGACAGTCCAACATCCTAACTGCCAACCAATACTGGCAATGCCTGAGTTAAAAATACATTTATATTACAAGTGATGGATACGTAGTACGCACTGACCCATGAGTGAAAACTAACTATTGCATTAGACAGAGAAGACACTAAGGATGGATAACTCCTGCTGTGTCGGGGAGCTGCTGTCATCTCTGTACTCCCATGTTCTATGAGCATCCAGAAGACGGGGCGAAGATAGCGGGTAAATTCAGTTTTCACTGGCCTGTAGAAACAAGTCACCTGAGTCTACTCTAATACTCCTGTGGACTAGAACCTCAGGACCTGGAACAGAGAGTTCTTCAGGTGGAAGGGGAAGTGCCTCGAGAGAGAGATTGTTGGGAGTCGGTGGTGGAAAATGAAAAGGCAGACGTTGGTACCCAGTGCACCTTGGAATTTGGAGGAAAAGACAGATCCAAGCCTAGCCTTTCATGCTGCGGCTACCTTCCAATCTATCCTTCGAATAAAGGTGTGTGCTGAACTTCACAAACTTCTTTGACCAAAAATCTGAGGCATCTAATGATATCAATTAGCAATATTTAGGTATATTAAGAGTATGAGGAAAGTACTTAGCCAGAAGGAAAAAAAAAAACTAAAGAAATCATGAATTATAAATTTTGTGTTATGGGAAATATAAATTAGGCATAGTAATAGAGCAATTATAGCAATAAACAGTTTTGAAGTTACTTAAAACTTATAAATCATTCATTTCTGGAATTTCTTTTTACTATTTTCAGGCTGGGGTTGATCTTGAGACTCAAAACCCGAGATAAAGGAGAATACCGTACACTTGTTCATCTTGCAATTTAAAATTTAAAGGGATGTCTATTTCCATTTCTGTTGCTATTATAAAACACCCTGACAAAAAGCAATGTAGAGGAGAAAGGGCTTATTTTAGTTCTCGATTCAGGTTACATACATTCCATCCTAGCAGGAAAGACAAGGTGGCAGAACTTAAAGCTAGTCACATCGCAGCCACAGTTCAGAGCAGAGAGAAAGGAATGCACGTATGCATACTCGGTTTACGTTCCCCACCCTTCCACAGTTCAGGACCAGCCCCAGGGAATCGTGCCACCCACAGTGGGCTGTGTCTTTCCATTTCAGAGAACCAACCCCAACAGGCCTGCTCTTGGACCAATATTATCCAGGTGATGCTCTTCCCAGGTGACTTTAGATAGTGTCGAATTGGCAATTAAAACTAACCATCACAGGGAATAATTATGATGAGGTGTCAGAAATCTCAAGACCCAAAGTACAGCTTCCCATTAGCTAGGGGAAAGAAAGCTACTCTTCTGCTTGGGGCATGTCCAGGGTTACTAAAGTTCCCTGGATCCCCCACCGGAAGGAAATTGTGCTAGATATTGGTGAAACATGGGATCACTGTTGAAATTATTTATAAATGAGAAACATATTTTGAAAGAAAACATACCTCAAAGTGCTTAGTAATTTTGTGGTATAATTATTTGCTTTTCTGTCTAGAACGCTCTTGGTCACTTGGACGGGAGAATGTGTGAGGATCAATATTATAGCTATGGCTGAGACATGAAGGGAAGGGGATTAATTCCGGCCAGTCTGGAGAGGTCACTTTGTGACAGGAATTCACTAACTCCAATAAATGACTGTACCAATGCCCTCATGCTACGGACATGTAAGCCCTTACCATACACTAACATGCTAGACAGCTTACCGTAAAACCAGGTGATTTTCATGACGTCCCTAGAAAATGAGAAATAAAGAAATTAATTTCATTTTCTTTATATGCCTATTTCACAAATTTTAGTTGGCTGGTAGGCTTGTCCCCCATAAAAACAAACTAGGCAATAGTTCGTGAAGCTCTGCCTTGTATTGTGTTGGGAGAATCTTGTTAATGAGAGCTCACGTTAAAATCTGATAAATAAAGACCTTCTGGCATGCACTTAAATCAGCATTTGTCAGTGTGAGGGTCATGACTCAGGAGGTTGTGAAATCCAGGGAGTCCCAACTAGAACTTAAAGAAAAACGAACAGAAAGAAAACACCAGAGTTGTTTTAGGCAGAACAGTTGAAAAACCAAATAATGGAATTTTAAATGAGTGGCAGTGTAACACACACACACACACACACACACACACACACACACACACTTTCTGAGGCATAGTTCCTGAAAGTTCCCTCAATTGCTTGTAGTGCAAGATAGTGGTTCAGTGACAAGTGTCTGGATGTTTCGAACAGACTCAAGAACTCGGCCAGTGCATGGTTAATACATCTTTTGTGACTGGAAATATCTCAGAAGGCAGAAACCAAAATGGAGTTCCAGAACTTGCCAGTTAGATAGCTATTGGGGCGAGGGACAGTTCTAGAGCCCAGGACAGTCTGTACACCACCTTCTCTTTCATTTGCCTGTAGGCAGTGACCACGTTTCTAATTTATGCAATGTTGAGGCTTATTTGCTTTTAATGGATAGGACAACCTGGTGCCAAGTTCAGGCGTTCATCTCTAGACCTCGAGTCAAGGACAGACCACAACAATGCCTCAGCCTGGAGCTGAAAGGGGAAAGTCAATTTAGAAGGTCCTTCAGTCCTGAGGGTCTAATCCTATTTCTTAGCAATAATTAACTAATTAACCTAATACACTGTGTTACTAGACGAGGCCACTTCCCAAATGTTCCTGTAAATGTCCTCCTTATATGATTTTGACAAGATAGCGCCAGCACAACCACGAACCCAGTGAGATGTATGTGTAAGCTGGAGACAGCCTTCCCAGTAGCTCTCTAGGAATAAACAATTTATTGAAGACATAGAGCAAAACTTCGATGCGTTTTGGTAGGATTGCCTCCTCAGGACTCCACTTCTCTGTTTCCAAGTGAAGTCCTTAAACTTCCACTCAGCATGCGCCTTATTACTGTCTGGGCTAATCCTGGGTGAGGGTGGTCCTTCGGGACAGAGACACCCCCTCCGCCCCCTCCCTGTCTCCTACGGCCACCCTGGTCTACCCCAGAGAGGTGGGTCTGGGATTCCAGCAACTCTCAGGTCGCTGGCTGTCCTTTCCTCCCAGAAAGCTGCAAACCGCACAAGTCACTAGATAACTTAATCTGGCTGTAAGCAAGAGACCCCGAGGCCTGTGTACTCTAGTGATAAACGGAAACATCCGGCTGAGTCAAGAAAGGGAACGCGGTATCTTTGAAAACTAATATAAACGAATAAAGCATAAACAAGAGCTTTGCGGAGAGAGTGCCCCCGCCCCCCACGTCCATCCATGCGTAGGAGGGGGATGAGTGTCTGGAGAAGAAAATCCCCCACGTCCTTGGGCTTCTGTCGGGAGACTTTCCCCTGCCTCGGGGTGGGGGAGAGGAGGGGGGGATATAGGGGAGGCTGGAGGAGGTGATTTCCTCCAGCCCAGGTCTGGTCCCCGGATCCTCCCCCTCCCTCCGCCCGTCGGGATGGGAGGCGCGCCTGGACCCTCCCCGCCCTCGTCCCACCACGGAGACCTGGGGGTTGCGGGGTCCAGGCGGCGCTTTCGCAGCCCCCGGCCGGTACGAGCCCTGACCCTGCGCCGGGGGGCACGGGCCACGATGACGTGGGCGCGCGGCGGGAGGGGCCGCCTGGGGGAGGAGGGGGGGGGTGACTCGGCCGCCTTATTAGCGCCCGGCGGGTCGCGGGCAGAGAGCAGTCGGCCCGGACTGAGAGCAACCGGAGCGGGCGAGCGGCCCACTCCTCCCTCCTCCTAGGCGGCCGCCTCCTCCCCTCGTTCTCCCGCCCCCACTGCGTGTGCGGCGGAGGCTCCAGGGCTTGCGCTGCCTCTTTCTCCCGCTCGCTGGGCTCCGGTTCCCACTTTTCCCTGGCTGCCGCGCTCCCGGGACCCGAGCCGTCTCCGTGCTTAGCCTCGGCGGCCCACGGTGCTCTAAGAGCCTCTCCAAAGCAGCCCCGGGGCAGAGAGTGGGACGTCCCGGTCGCTTCCCCCGCTTGGGTCAGCTTCTGCCCGGCTCGCAGTACCTTCTGGCTCCCGCACAGTCGGCTTGGGAGGACTGGGGGAGAAGGTGAAGTGGAAAGGACCGACAGGGCACGGGGCCAGGCGCACAGCTCACGTTGCCTTTTCATTGAGCAAAGCCCAAGATCAATTTTTTTTTTTTTTTTTAAAGCTCTGCAACCCCCCTTCCCCTTCTTCCATTTTCTTTGCGCGTTTTAAAGGAAACTTATTTTGGGGTGGTTTGCGCTGGGGTAGCTGCTTCGCCCAGTAGTTGTGAAGTGCACTCGACTCGTGATGGTGTTCCTGTCACTTTGGTTGATAGCAGCCTCTCTGGTAGAGGTTAGGACGTCAGCTGATGGACAAGTAAGTGGAAAATAATAATAAAAACTCAAACCCAACCTTTTCCCGACAGAGTTCCTCCCCTTCGTCCCCTTCACTCCCTCCCCTCCCCTTGCCACCCTTCTGGGGCATCTTCTGCGTTCCTAGGCGGCCCAGGGAGGGCTCGGCGCTGCGCGGGACTTGGGGGGCTTGGGGGCGCATTGCACGGGAGGTTGAGACAACCATCCTCCGAGAGCCAAGGCTCATCACACCTGGGGCTTCCCTAGCCGGCGGCGACCAGGAGCAGTCCAAATGTCAGACTGCAGCCAGATCGCATCCTAGTGGGGCCATCAGGCTGTCCCCTTTTGCAGGGCGCTCCGGACGCTCTGGGCGCTCTGGCGAAGTTCAGGTTGTGGACCGCGGATTCCGAAGCCCAGAGGATCTCCCTCCTCCTGACTCCCAGTTCCTGCGGGTAGCCAGGGACAAGAGGTTTCAAGAAGTCCCCAGGCAGGACCCGGAGCTACCCAGCAGACACGTGTCCTGGGAGGACCGCGGCCGGGCTGCAGTTTGACAGTTGGGGAGGGCCTGGGACGTTTCCTGCCCTCCGCTTTTCCGAGGGCAGCCAAAGCTGGAGGCGTCTGCCGCCTCTTCCCCTCCCCCCCACTCCGTACATCTCCTCCTCTTTAAAGCTAAATTGAGTGCAGCTCTGGGGCCTTTCGGCCCTGCCCCCACCCCGTGGAGACTCAAGGTGAAGCTGATGCTCTCTGAAGAGTCTTTGAAGGGGGCTCAGGCTGGCGAGCCTTTTGTAGTAAATCAAATCAGCGCTGAACCGGTGGGACTCTGAGTGCAGGATTCCTCGGTGAGGTTTTCTAGCCTCTCTGGTCTGGTGACCTAGTATTGGAGTTTTCCGAAGAGGCCATTGAGGGTCACTATTTATTTGACTGGCTCCACAGATACTAAAATTAAAGCCAGCCAAGTCCCTTTCTCAAATAGTCATCGAGTTGGCTCTGGCTCTTGTCACAGGAACCTTCTAGGAACTAAGTAAGGTTTATTCAGCCTTCAGGCAACAATTCCAGTCTCTGGGTCTCCTGATTAACCAGCCTAGGAAAAGCACTGATGGTAGAAACCGCACAGGGTGATAAGATGAAACCCAGTAACTGTTTCTTTTTCTTACTCCCCCCCCCCCCTTTCTAGGCTGGGACTGAAGAAATGGTGCAAATAGGTAAGCCTCTTTCTCAGATGTCACCCTTACCTTAGCTGAGAGCAGGGGACAAAAGTAAGCTAAGCCAAAGAATTGTTTCTGAAAGTTTCCTAATTAGTGGTTAAAATAATTCGTAGTCTGGAATCGTTTCTACTCTTCCGCTTTCCGTGGGAGGGTCCTATTTTCCCCAGGCTAAATTATGGTAGTGTCAATATCCTCCCAAGGATGAAGCTCCTCTTCTCAGGCATTAATTTATTACTGGTATGCACTTGGGAGGGTTATAGCGGGGCTGGAACATAAGAGATGCTTAAAGTCAGACCCATCACCTTGTGGCACATAGGGAGAAACAAATTTGCTTGTAACTGAAGACAGTTGTAGGAATGCCAGGAAGAAAGGGGAGATGATGAGGAGAGGATTCACATTTTTTTCCTTAAGTTTGCCTGCTTGGTCTGCACTCTTGAGTGACTTCTTTTATTCCATAAAAATTATTTCGTAAGATAGTTATCTTTAAGTTAGGTAATACTTGCATAATACCTGGTACTATGGGGTCTATTGTTCCTATTTTACCGGTGAGGAGACGGTAAAGTTCAGAATACGTGGTTTGTAACAGGTTACTCCAAAAATAACAGTCATTTCTTGAGGTTGTTCATAATACTATGTTTTGGATGCTCACGGTTGGAAAGTCAGGCTACAATCAACATCCTATAAAACATCATTCTATGTGTTTATGGGGGGTGTTTGCCTGCCTAGATGTCTCTTCACATGTGTGCAGTGCCCAAGGATGCCAGAAGAGGGCATAAGATTCCCTGGAACTAACGTTCCAGATGGTTGTTCGTCACCATGTGCTGTGAATTGAACTCAGGTGCTCTGAAAGAGCACGGAGTGCTCTGAACCACTGTTTTAGTTACTTCTCTGTTGCTGTGAAGAGACACCATGACTAAGGCAACTTAGAAAAGCGTTTATTTGGGGCTTTGAGCTCCAGAAGGTAGAGTGCAGTGTTATCCTAGCCAGGCGGTACAGTCATGGCAGCCATGATGCTAGAGCAGTAGTGGAGAGCTCACATCCTGAGACCCAACCACAAGGGGGAAAGAGATTAACTGGGAATGGCATGAGTCTCTTGAAACCAGTTTGTAATTAATCTTAAACCTCAGAGTGGTTATTTAGGAACTGATGGGCAGGAGAAAAGCCTCCAGTTATAGTAAAAAAACAAAAAAACAAAAAAAAAAACAAAAAAAAAACCAATGCATTTAATACATCTAGCTTAGAGAAGGGAAGAAGCCTGGCTAGAAGCACAGCTGTTGAGGATTGGTGTGAACTGGTGATGGTGGAAGGAGCTGCCATGTCTTGACGCTGCGGCTCCATGTGTGAGAGAGTCAGTTCTGTTCGTGCTGTTTTGAGAAGGATCAGAATTCAAAGTTGCATAGTTTCTCCTCAGACTTTGTGAATTGTTTACACATGCACGTGTGGAAATCTTACTTAGTGTTGTGTCTTCGCCAGCCTTAGAGTTTAAGAGCAAAACAGAAGGGAGAAGGGTGGCTGAGAACGCACTGCAAACCGCCTGAGAGGTATCAGTCTTGTGGCGATTGATTGCACTCGGCCCTCTTTCTATCTTTTTGAAGGAAAAAAAAAAAAAAGACCAAACCAAACAAAACAGCATCAAAAACTCAAACCCCCAAGTAGGAAAAAGAACAGTCTTGGTTTTAATGACTTTGCTAATTTCGTTGGCTACTGCAGCATTTCAGGATGTAACTGAACAGGTGTTTTAAGATGGCCCATTCTTCCAACACATTTTATTCACATAATGAAATGTGTTGCTCTGATGGCGTTTTCAGATAGAATCAGGATGCTCTCATCTCATGCAAGAGGCTGGGACTGGCTTCGGTCCAGACCCTTTGTTGGTATCAGTTACTTTCGGAGTCCTTTCTGCAGTAAAAGAAAACAGTGCAGGTGCGCCTAAGTTTAGCTTGAAGGTGATGAGTCAGCAGCCTGGCAGGGGTGCTCCTGGTGCTTGTAGGTTGTATTTCTGGAGGTTTATAGCGCTTGTCTCCTTACTCCTGTTCTGTGGGGTTCCTCTTTGCCATTGTCATTTTATTTACCATACTCCAGTGTAATGAAAAGGAAAACAACAGCATGAAAGATTCCGACCTCTGAGTCTTGTACTCATGAAATACAGCCATCATTTATAGTCAATGACCTGACTCTGTGGGGTTTTAAAAAATGCTCTATTTCAGAAAATCTTAGCTGCAGTAAGATTCTTTGCTGTCGCCATTCGAAAAGAGACTTACAGATTTAGGAAGATGCACTTATGTGCATGTAACTCTCTCTTCAGTAGTCACTCATTTGAAAGGCGGTTCTGTGAAACAGCCTGGGAGTACTGTTTGATTGATGACACATTAGGAAAGACTAAAGCAGCCTATGAAAATTATTGATGTATTTATTATTTATATCTATTGCATAACAAATTCCATAAAGAAATTCCATAGCTCTGAATGGCTTCTGTGTATATTTCAGGAAGAGAGAAACATAATTTAGCAATAAACCACAAACTGTGGAAGAGACAAATTTGAAAGAAATTAGAGTTTCTTATGCTCGCAGGATCTGTATTCAGTGTACAGCTTGCTGCTGCTGATATAGTGTGTACTTGTGTGCTTGGGTCCATAAGCAGGATGTTACTAGCACCCATGTGCCTCTCTCCCACCATTTTCCTGGTGCTGATTCCTCATTAAAGGTAACCACACTCCCGATTGCTAACAGGGTTGGACTAATTTTGCCCAGCTGTTCTGCTTTTTATAAAAGAAATTATACCATATTATTCTGTAGTATATGGCCTACAATGACAATTAAAATCTATATGACATGTCTAACCTACTAGAGTAGGGAAAGGATTTTATTTAGGTAGAGAGGAGGAGGTTTATAGTGGAGGGGATGGCAGGTTAGAATACGTTAGATTCCTCATTTATGTAGTCTTATAGGGGATATGGCTGCTCTCTTAGCCAGTGGGAAAAATATATTCTTGGTGTGTGGGGAAGTATGATTCCTTCTAGGGAAAATAGGGAAATAGATTTTGAACCCTGGTCTTGTCTGGGTCTCTTTGTCAAGTAGTGAAAAACTACCTCTCTCCCCAGCCTATGCATGTTGAAGTATATTCGTGTATGTATGGTCAAGCGTGTTTCATTAGTTCATTGGCATGTTTCTGCCGCCTGTTGGGGAGCTCTTTCTTGTCGGAGTCAGCACATGTTCTTAGTGGGATGCAAGGGAGTCATTGCGGGCATCTGGCTGACTGCCTTAATTGGGTTAGGAGGCTTACGCTGTGACACACGAGGGTTAGGAAACAATTAGAGTTCTGTAGAGATTGGAAAATCTGAAAAAGAATCCTCAGTCTCTTTGTTTTGGAACCATCACTTTGCTATTCTCTGGGCATCATTTGAGGAAGGCTCATGATACTGCATGAAGCTGTCTTTCCTCAGCAGCCCTTGTTGGAGCTGGGGTATGTTTATTTTTTTCTGTTCTATTTCTAGTCTTCAGTTTGAAAAATCCATTGCAATTCATTCGTTAGAAAGGAGCTTATCGTCGTCCACTCAGACATCTAGTTTTCTAAGATGCTTTGTCATCATTGGGATGTATCTATATCTATATATCTATCTCTATATCTGTGCATAGTTTTCAGAGTTTAGTGTGAGTCACTTACCCAATGATTGACATGGAGTAAAGAAATACTGTCACTTCTTACCACATGAAAGCCAAGACTCTGGTTTGAAGATGGCTTTGTCTTAGTACATACACCACAGTTGGTACCTGGTCATCCACAGACACTCATTGCTTGGTGACGAGCTGCAGCAGGCAGGGCATTATTACATCAAGATCTCTCTATGTTCTGGATTTCCTTTAAATGCTTTTGTTCTGTGCCTTGCTTTAAGTTTAGTGAGTCCCCATGAAAACAGCGAATATGACAATGGCTATCAGTTAATTGTTCAATGTTAGCAAGGCATCTTATGATCACTTTTATACCACAAAGCACAAGAACCTTGGCCAATTCATTTTGCCTGCTTTGCCTACAGTCTGCTTGGGATGTTTACCCCCATTTGCCTGCTCCCCCTTGTAATTGAGGATTGCTGTTGCCGTTGAGCTGAAAAAATTTCTTGCCCATGCTTTTGCTGTTCTCTTGTTGCTGTCTCAAATCATGTGGGCAGTGCCTAGAAATGTTAAGAAAACCCTCAAGGTCACCCCTGCCTCAGGATGACGAACTTCAAACATTCCTTGCTTGTGAGAGGCCAACTCAGACCGCCTTGGAAACCCATTAGGGATAGTTCCAAACGGCCTGGTAAAATTATGAGTGGTTTCGGGATGCGGAATCTGGTCGTATCACTTGGACTGCCCACAGGTATGGCTTCTACGGAGTTCATTCTTTCTGTGAAAGGATTGCTGTTAGCAGTGGAGCCTCTCCTTAGCAATCCTGCAACGGAATACAGATCAACTTTTTTTCCTAACTTACGTCGGGGCCCCCCCCCCCCCCCCGCCCCGGCAAGCTGTGATTCTCCTATGTTGATTATAGATGTGCTACCCGTGTGCACTGTGGTTATCTGTACTGTTTCTGTGGCCTCTGGAACTCTGATGGTCAAAGCCCAAAGAACTGACAGGTTAGCCATTGTCAACCCACTGTTCTTTTTTAATTGCAGTCTTTTAGACTTTAGATTTTTGGGTTGGGGTGTTCAGCTGGTAAAGTTGTGTGTAGATGTTCCAACGTCTGAAAGAATAGACACCACAGTGTTAAACATTTTGGATAAGTAATTATCAACACGTATACACAGAGCATAGTTGGTATGTAGTCTGGTTGGAATTACTCGCGTGATAATATGTTTTTGTATGAAGAAAAACTGGTTCGGCATATTTGTTTTTGTTTTCCATATCCTTACAAAACTTCTTGCCAAAGACACTGAATTCCATCCTGCTAATGGTACATAACTTGATAATTATTTTGCTTATGGTATCTGCTTTCCCCTAGTATTGAGATTTGCCACCTG